GCAGCAATTCAACAAGATAGACACTATCAGAATCCTCACGTGAAATCCAAGCATAGTAAAATAACAACCATAGTTAAATAGTTGCCTCTATTCACAAGACTAAGGTAAAAAGTCCAACTGGCTGACCCAAGAGCCAAAGAGCAAGTGCAGGAGGTATGTATTATGTCTGCAACTTGTCTTGAAACACTAGAAATCAGGGCAGAACAGGAGAAATGGAGACTCCTTTGCTGCTCCATTAGGAAGAAGGTACAGAAAGAAGGCATACGTGTTTGTACATGGTATGTAACATAAAACAGCACTTCAATGTGGTGTCCAGAAAAAACACAACTCCTCAAATAGCTAGGTTGGGATCTGGCTCCACTGCTAAGGTTTGGATACGAAGGGTCTCCCTTCCCCCAAAGGCTCGCGCGTGAAGGCCTGATCCCCAGCCAGTAGAGCTATCGAAGGGTGATTAGATCACGAGAACACGAACTTCATCCGTGGATTACTCCACTGACGAGCTCATAGCTGAAGAGGTATTTGGAGATGAGACTTAGTTGAAGTAAGTGAGTCGCTGGAGGCTTGCACTTGAAGGCTATGTCTTGTCTCTGGCCCCCCCACTCCCACTGCTCTTCCCGGTTGCCGTATGGAGGAGGAAATAACCACTCACCACCATGATGCTCAGCCTCGCCTCAGGCTCAGAGTAACAGACAGTGGTCCATGGAGCCAAAATAAATCCCGTCTCCTTTTAAATTGTTTTCTCTCAACAACTTTGTCACAGCAGTTAAAAAACTGACTTACACTCTTTATTAACTGATAAATTTGGGCAGTTTACACAATCTCTAAGCCTCAGTTTCTCTCACTGAACTGTGGATAACAACGTTGGAAAAATTACCAATAAAGACTAAGTACCTATTGCACCATCCCTGAGCCAAACAGGTACCCAACAAAGAGTCCTCTCTTCACTGCCACAGCTTCATTTTTCTCTTTATAGAAGGAAGAAATACCAAAGTGCAAGTGTGAAAATCATGAAGAGCAGGAAACAATTTTTAGAAGACAGGCCAGCACATCCCATTCATCAAGTTCTCTTCTCATTCTGCAGAAGAGAACCCAGACAAAGGAGGGAAGCTGAAATGCAGTCCCTTCCCTCCATGGAAAAGACGCCCCTTTTTAAAAAAAATTCATTTATTCGTATGCGCATATATTGTTTGGGCCATTTCTCCCTCCTGCCCCCTGTCCCCTCTCTCTCCTCCCCACCCCCCTCACTTCCAGGCTTCTTCATATGCTAAAAGTAGCATGCCTGTACGGCTGCAAGACTCAAAATAATTTATACTAATTCATTCTCAGATTATCTTCCTAGAAGTAGTTGGGGAGCCAGAAAAATTCTCCATGGAAACTGGGTTATTCTTTTGCTAATTCATAAACTTTATTGAAGTCAGACTGCAAACAGCAGAACAAAAGTAGAACCTGCAGTGGGGCCAGCACTCCTAATTAGCACTCCTAATTGCTTTTTCTTGGATAATTAAAACCAAACGAGAAGAGGTATACCATAAATCATGGATTCAGAAAATTCAGGTGTATGTTTACATCAAGTTCTTACTAGGTTCATCAACACAGTAATACCCCCCAGCAGAGGTGGAAGCCCAACATGCATTCATGTTTTAAAGAAGAAAATAGAGTTGCTTTGCATGATCCATGATGATAAAGACAAGAAAGTAACTTTTTCAATACATTCTTAGTGCTGGACTTTGTACTAGAAAACATGAGACCTCAGTCAGGTTGGGCATGGTGGCATATGTCTGTAATCTCAGCACTCAGGAGGCAGAGGCAAGGGTATGGTGGTTCTAGGCTAGTGTGGACTACATAGTTAGACCCTGCCTCAAAATATCTCAAAACAAGTAATCCTCAAAATTAAAACCTTAAGATTCATTTAAAACATCTGAATCCTTTAAGCTGGAGGTTGAAGACAGAAAACAGGAAGTAGGGAGGGGCAAAATTGACTTTTCATTTTTTGTCTTTTGGTATTACTAAAAAATTTTTTTTGGTAGTAGTACTGGGGCTTGAACTCAGCCCTCAAGTTTGCAAGGCAGGTGATCTACCACTTAAGCCATATCCTCCAGCCTTTTCTGCTGTGGTTTTTTTATGCCCAAGCCAGCCTGGACTGTGATATTATTTACGCTTCTTGCTGGGAAGAAGGTATGACAGGTGCATGCCAACACATCCAACTTTTTATTGATTGAGAAGGGGTCTCACAAACCTTTTGCCTGGGCTGGCCTCGAACTCTGATTCTCCCAAACTCTCCCTTCTGAGTAGCTAAGATTACAGTCACGAGCCACAGCATCTGTATTGTTTTTTTTTTTAACCACATAGGTTTTATAATTATGCTTGTGACCAGGAAAGATTGACATTCTCATTGGCTTTACATATGAGGAAACCAATATGCAGTAATATTTGGTAATTTTTTTGGCTAGGTTACATGGCTGGAAAATGATAGAGCAATACTTACCATATACTATCCTAGACAAGAGAGTTTAAGGGGAGAGGGGAGAAAACTTCAGAAGGTTCATTCTTGGTAACTCCATTTTCTCATTAACAAGGAATTGGTTGTCTACTAGGAAAAACAAAACTAGGGGAGGATTAAGGACTAGAGGAAAGGGATTTAAAAAAAAGCCATCATCATGGGCTTGGGGACAAGGATACTGACTAGTGCTAAGTAAATGGATTGCTCAGCAAAGATGAGGGCCTGCTAGGATTGGAACTCATAAATTTGTAATGGAGCCAATCAGCACAATTACATAATTTTCCCCAGTTGTGCTAGGAGAGGCCAGAAGCAGGTGATTCAGGATTGGCAGGACAGAGTAAGGTTAAACAAGTGCTTTCCAAGTCTCCAGGGGACTTGAAGTTTCAAAGCAGGTAAGATATTGAGTCTGTTTCCCATTCCTTCTGAGAACACACTTAAAATAAAAGTGGAGTAGAATAAAAAGTAATTAAGCCACACAGCATGGAGAAATGGAAAGAGCAGCACCAAATGTCATGAAATGGTGAGAAGACAGACATGGATTTATGGGCAAAGCCCAGATGTCACCATGGAGGACAGGGGCCAGCCTGTCCAGAGGAACCTCCACAAGGCTCTGAGCCCAAAGTCAGCAGTGGGAGATGTGGAGAAGAACACAATGGAACCCTCTGGGGAGAAAAATGGTGTCGGTGGGCCCTTCCATTTTCATGTGCACTCACCCCCAGCTCCAATTCAGGTCCAGAAAGCTCCTCTCTAAACAAACTGGAAGAAACTCAAAAAGCTGATCTACTCTACAAGTTGACAACTAAGAATAAAAAACACTCATTCTCATATCTGGGATGGAGGGAAGGACATACATAGCCTGAGAGATGTTAGACTGAGTGCTGCCAACTTGCAAAACCCAGAACAAATAAATTAGGAAGATTGACCTTTAAAACAAAATGATAAAATGGAAGGCACAGAAACAAATGAAAGAAATATGACTATATGTCCAGAGAGGTCTGAGAAGATTGTACTCTCTAAAACAACATCAGGATGCTATAAAAAGTGAATACTCAGGATTCAACAAAGAAAAAAATCACCCTCAAAAAAAAAAGTTAGGCATGGTGGTCCATGCCTATAATGGGCCAGACTTTGAAAGGCGAAGGCAGGAGGATTGGGAATGCAGGCCAGTCCGGATTATACAGCAAGTTCAAGGCTAGCCTGGGCTACATGATGTGATCCTGTGTCAAAGTCTGGGGAAAGTTCTTATAGCAAAAGACAAGAACACATGAAATATGATGCAATAAATTAAACATATAGGGAACTCCTGATTATCAGGAGTCCTGGGTTACATTGGGAAAAATAAGAGGTGAAAATGAGTAAAGATGTAGAGGAAAATTTCTGAGACAGAAAAAATGACGTATATGTTCAATAAAATTCAGAAATTGCCTACTATGATGGATGAACAAAGTGTGGAGACATCCATACATGCATTCATCCATCCATCCATGCAACAAATGTCATGCATTGTCTTAGGTGGCAAGGATGCAGCTTTGTATAGATGACCATAGCAACTCCTCTCAAGGAGCTCATGTTTTAGAGCTAGAAGACAAGAGCAAAGCAAGTAATTAAACAAGGTAGTTTCAGATATGCTAAATGTTATGGGGAATTAAGGAGGAATAACATGATCAAGAGTAGGGACGAGGCTCCTTTACACCATGCAGAAAACGAAAGTCTCTGAGAAGGTGGCCCTGCTAAATGTTGAATGAATGACGTGGGTAATTTGTATCTCAGTTTTGTCATCTGTAAAACTGGGACAAGAATACACCTACCTCACAGTGCTGCTGAGACGATTCATGAATTAATATCTGTAGGGCACTTAAAAGAATGCTTGGCATGAAGTAGAGTCAGTGTAAGTGTTAACTATGCTTTGTATTCTTACTACTTGTGCAAGGAAGATATCCAAGTTATATTGCTAAATAAGAACAAAGCTCAGAAAAGTACATGCAGAATGTTATATGTTGGATATAACATAGGGAAAACTGAAAATATATAGTCATAGTTTCTTGCATAAAGAAACCCTAAAGGATGCACATACACACACACACACACACACAAAATGTGGTTATCTGGTTTATCTTTGGTTGGAGAAGTGGGAAGAAATAGATGAATGGAGGATTGACGTAAAAGCAAGATTTTTCACCGTGCATTGTATTTTCATTGAACTTGATGTTTTAATGCTATGTAAACATATTAGTTATTGAGAATATTACATTAAAGCACAACAGTTTTCATTAACCTAACAAGCATTTCACCTCATCTGTAATGAAAATGCTATTAAGGTCACTCTGTGAGGATCAAAAAAGACATAGATCAACCATGGCCTCTGCCCTCTAGGAGCATGGGCTCCATGTAGGGCAGGACAGTTGGGAGGAAGGGGTAGAGTCTGACACTGGGTTCAGAAATACCACAGAACTTTGCACTTCTATCATGTGAACATGGATGGCTCTTCAGAGGTACTTACCCTGTTGTATAAGGGATGTTTATGCCTCCCAGATTAATACTTTCACACCCAACAATAAATAGGGTTGAAAAGCACAGTAAAGACACACCACTGCAGATCATTGCTAGCTTTGCAGATTCTCTTGCACCAAGTTTCAATTTTTTTATAATGTAACCTCCCAGGACAATACCGACACCAGCACTGGGGACAATAATGACACCTAGAAAGAAGAGAAGGAAAGGATTAATTTGAACTATTTAGATTATTATTTGTCTTTTTTAATTATTCCGTTTCACCTGCTCATTAGTACTAAAAAGTAAATAAAATATCATTGTAATCAATAAATTTTCAGTGTGTTTGATTTTATGGTAGAATATTATTTCCAACACATAAATCAACAAAGGGTTCATATGCAGATGGAATAAAACACTTTTACAAAGCAATAAAGTAAGACAAACAACCCATTAGAAAGTGAGAAAAACTTGAATTGGTCCTCATCAAAGAAAAAGCTCAAATAATAAATAAACATATGGAAGCAGCTATCTTATTACTAAGAGGGAAATATAGATTAAAGTCCAGTCCACGCCATGTATGGTAATCTTGCTATAGATTACACCAGTCATGTTGGAAAATTTTAAAGTGCAATGATATCACGTGTTGTCAAAGATACAGCACATCGGAATTCTGTGCATTGGTGGGACATAAATACTACTTTGAAAAAAAGCTTGGTGTTGTATGTTACAGTTGAATATATGTACATTCTGTAAATTCCATGCAATTCCATCCCTGGATCTATACCCTGAATGGGTACCAAAAGAAGTGGATAAGATATTTGAAGCACCATGATAGCCAAAACTGGAAATAAACCAAATTTTCACTGTATGTAGCATATCCGTACTATGGAATACTACCATGCAGTAAGGCAAAGTAAGAAATGTAGCTATATGTCACTATGTGAATGAATCTTACAAAGACAATATTGAATTAAAGAAAAATGTAATAGAATACACACATGTTAACACTTGTGTAAAGTTTAAGGACCAATAAAACTAAGACATAATGTTCAGGAATGTATGTACAAGGAGTATAACTATGAAGAAAAGATAACTAATAACATTTAATTATCATAAAAGCTAAGATATGGTATCACAAAAGACGGGGCTCCTTTGGTACTGAAAACACTTCATTCCATGATCTGGATAGTAGTTACTGATACAGCCTGAACGTTTGTGTACCTACTCACCCTCAAATCCTAACCCCCAATGTGATAGATGGGATTAGGAGGTGGAAACTTTGGGGGTGATTAGGTCATGAGTGTGGAGGCCATAAAAATGGGATTAGTGCCCTAATAAGAGAGACCTGAGAGCTCCTTCACATCCTCCATCATGGGAGGACACCATCTATGAGGAATGAACCCTCGCCAGACACCAAATCTGCCAGCACCTTGATCTTGGACTCCACTCTCTGGAACTGTGAGAAATAAATTTCACTGTATTTAAGCCACACCATGTATGGTAATCTTGCTATAGAAGCCCAAATAAACTAAAATAAGTGTTCAATTCACATTTATTTCTTATCTCTAAATTTTGGCTAATATGCAAAATTTATACTTCACACTACAAAAACAAATAAAGAGTTATAGTGCCTGTCCCAATAACCTTACAAACTAAAAAATAAACAGATAATTAGAACACACTAAAAACAACTACACAAACTATAGGGAGAATACCGGAAAAGAGGCATACCTGAGTCTCCCTGGAAGAAATCAGAGATGGCATCTCATGCTGCCAATGGAGAAGACAGAATGTGCCCAATGTCCCAGTACAGAGGGCATTCCATACAAAGGAAATGTGTGCAGAAAGGCAGGAGACTGTGGACTAGAGGACCCAAAGCAGTCCAAAACAGTGAGTGTGGAATGCAAGATTCTAGGAGGTAGAAGGGCATGGCAAAGAGAAGTGAGGAAGAGTGAGACCATGAGAGACCAGGGAAAGAAGCTAAGACTGCATATCTGGGCAATAGGAGGCCAAAGCCAAATTCAGAGCCAGGTCAAATGGTATGAGTTGTGTGTTATGAAGACCATTCTTTTCTTTGTTGGCAGTACTGGGGATTGAACGCATGGCCTTCTACTTGCTAGTTAGATGGTCTACCACTTGAGCCAAGCTTCCAGCCCATGAAGATCACTCATGAAGTGAGTATATAAGATAGCTTAGATGGGTGAGAACTCAAGTCAGAGAACTGGTCAAAGCAAAAGTGCTGCTGAACCATATAGGAAGTCTAATGACCAATAGCACAATAAACTAGATCAGGAGACTAGGGAGAGAGGGCAGGCTAGTATATGACACCCAGATACAGTAGAGATCCAGAATATGAGCCCAGGCATGTGGGGAAAAGTTCATGACAGACACATTGAACGTGAAGTGCCTACAGATAGAAACACCTTACACAATTGCACCTGTGGGCTATGTACTTCAGGAAGAGCTGGGCTGAGGGATTTATAAACAGTAGCTGAATTCGTGACATAGATGGAATGTTCCAAGAGGTACAGAGTGAGAAGAGAAAAAAAATCAAAGCAATAATCTTAATAGGGTATTATTAAAAAGATGAGCCTACAAAAGAAACTGAAAATGAGCAGTCCCAGAATCAAAAATAAATCTGGGGAAGTGAAATGTTCTCAGGGGGATAAAACTTGGGCTTTGGATTCAGAAAATGGCTACGTAATCATACATGAGCTTCTTAAACATTTTAAGCTAAATGTCTTTGTGTTATGAAGGAGAGGGCTACCATTCACATGACAGGGAAGATCACATCCACTCTCTCTGTACGTGATATAAACTGTAGTTACTGCCATTGCAACTGTGCCATAGACCACCAAAGACAGTTTCAAAGAGCAAAAGGGACAATGGTGTCAAATGCCTCACAGAAGTCCAGGAAGAAAGATTGAAATGAGACCATGAGGTCCCTGGAGGCCATGGGAAGAGCAATGTTAAGGGTGTTGTAAAGGAAGAATCCAGACTGCACAGTGAGTTGAGTAGTCAGTTATGAAGATGTAGAGACTGGGAATTCCATGTGCTCTTTTTAGAACTCTGCTATAAAAGGAGGGAGGTCCTAGAGTTAGAGTGGAGCTGAGGAAGAGTCAGCTGGGGGGAATTCTGTCTGTTTTACAAGGTGCACAGGGGACTTAGGCATAATTATATCCCAAGAAAAATAAACTACAGGGAAGTGAGAGGTTGAATGTGTAGGGAAAGACAGCTCATTGACAATGTGCATGAGAAGTCAGATGATATGGAACCAGAAGCACAGACAGTTGGCCTAACGCTGGAGTGGAGGAGACCACTTCACCTAGGCCAGAACGGAGGACAAATTGCCTGCCGGGGGCGGGAGTGTTCCATAAATGTTAGTTTTCCAGTTAGGTTATTTTTCTATCATTTTAGAAACACAAGGTAATACATGTTGCAATAGAACATTTGAACAGCATAAAAAAGTATGAAGGAGCAAAAACTCCACAGCTTACATTCTGCAATTTCATTGTGGCCTTTTTATTGTGAGAAAACTGATAAGTGAAGATTTTTTTTTCCAGAGAAAGGAGATTTATTAATGCACTGTGCACATATGGGAAGAGGTAGACTAAGCAGTTCAGCCCATCTTCAGGGTACCAGCATGAGATTTCAATTTGAATAGAGGAAGAATGTGGCAAGGGACAGTAAGTATACACAATTATGTACTGTCAGTCAAACGGTGGTCAAGGCGTGGTCCAGTTGATCGTTATCTTAGGAGTGGTCAGACAGGGCCATGTCATAATGAGAAAGTAAATGGTTCCTCTGGTGGGATGAAGTCTTGTCACAAAATGTTTATTAGCCCTCTTGTTCCTGGAACCCAAGGTGACTGCGGGAGAGAATGGGTCAGAGCAAAGGAGACAGATGCACAATGGAGGCAGAGATGACAAGTTTTTAACCTGCTTTTAGTTATCTTTCGGACATTTGTGAAGATTCTTCACTTGGGCTTATACTATACTATCTTATAGTAATTTATAAGTACCTGTTATACTTCCCACCTTGTGTTTGGAAATTTCTCAATGTTGAGGGAATCATGATGTCAACCAATTTGGTTTTGTAGGTTTCCTGGCTGGGGAAACCTACATGTAATGGCAGAAGCATATAAAGCATCAAAAGAGCCATGTCTAAGCCTAAAAGTAGAAGCTCCACTATAAAGTAGAATACAAGGAGCCCACAGTCAGAAGACATCCAATTATAAACAACTTGTACATGGGTTCCTCTTTCCTTTTATGGAACTACATTTGTATGGACTACTAAAAAAGTGTTTGGAGTCAGAAGAAATAGTCATTTTCTTATCTCTACTTAAACAGAAGGCCTTTGCCAAGGTATGAATTTGCCTTATTTTCAGAAGTATCTATTAGGAGGGCTTTAGTGTCAGATAACCATGTGTAACAACCCTTATTCCATAACTTCTTGGCTTTAGTTACTTTTGGAAGGGTAGGCAAAAGTGACTCCAGCTTTTTGTTGTTAGTGGTAGTTTCTTATTTTATATAGTTCAGGCTGGTCTTGAACTTAAAATCCTCCTGCTTCAGATTCCCAAGTACTGTGATTACAGGTATGTGCCACCATACCCACCCAACATGACTCCACTTTGATTCTGACAACTTTCCCCCTCGTCTATAAGCAATTTTTTGTTAAGCCAATACTAATTAATTAATTAATCCTGTGGTTTGGTTATAATTGTCCCTTACTGTTGGGATGAGATTGTCAAGGTTGGTCTAATCTGATCCCATAGGGTATTGGGAAGACTCACAGACAGCTAGGACTCAATGTATAAGACCCTTTGGACAAATATAAGCCATTAAGTTATTGAGAAGGAGTGACTTTTAAGCTGGGATTACATGGTGCTCATTTTTTAATTTTGTCTGTCCTGTAGATGATGATCCTAGCATCTTAAAATACTGCTCAGGTTGTTTTGTTATAAGTTGTACTTCAAGAATAAGACTTTAGGACCCAGAGGGTCCAAATATTCATTACTTTGACTCACCAAATGATGGTTAAAAAACAAGTAGCTGATGTTGTTCCAAAATGAAAAGGAAAATTAAGCCCCCTAAATAAATGTGATCTTGGCAGTTACGTGGGATCCTCCTTTTTTGCCCTCTTCATCTGGGGCCAGATTTTTGCAAGTGGCTAATGTCTAAAGGGCATATTTTCTCCAAGAATGGCT